CCAAAATGTGCTTATCTTTCTGTGACTGGTGGTGCTGAATTTTCCATCCTTAAGTCTGTTGATAATAGATTTCAGTCCACAGAGATAACAGGTCTCTGTCTAGATGATAAGGCAGGATCTCAAATCTCCACCTTGAAAACTAAACCAAAATTTAAAAGTACAAAACAGAAACGTATTGTTTTCATTGGCAAAAGCTGCAAGATCCTGCGCTGCTTCCTCCTCTTCTAGTCGATCTTACCCAAGTAAACAGCACCAGATTCCACAGTGTGCATAGCTGCTTTGGAAAATGTGGATCGGTGTCTTATAAAAAAAGGATAAGAAGCTTTTCTAAGTAGACTTCTGATTCTGTTCCGCTTTCTCCCATTTGGATCTTTTGCAGCAGTCCCAAGGTCGAGTGCAGGATGACGATGCTGGCTAGCAATTTCTCCCTGAGTAAAGCTTTGGCTGTGTTTATTTACTCTGCTAGCCAGGGACACCTCTCTGTCAGATTCACATAGTTTCTAATCAGGAGGCCAACAATGTTCCTTACAGCATCAGTTAGGTAATATTCCAGAATATGATGCCAGCTACATATCATTCTTGTACTTTCACAGCTGCCAATGTTATACCAAAAGTGATCCAGTGTGAAACCTGTGGGAAGTGGGATGTGTTTATTTGGTAGCTTTTCATAAATACTGTCTCTGTATGCTTCATTGTATTTTATTTTAAACAAAGTTATCATTTTATCATTATTCCTAGATATCCGCTTGTGTATTTTTCTTTTTTTAAAATAATGACTTTATTTAACTTTACTTATTTTAATTTGACCAGAGAGGGAGGGCAGAAGGGAAGGAGAGAGAGAGAGAGAAAGCAAGCCACCAGGCCCAGGACTCGAACCACAGTTGGTCTTGTGGGAGTCCAGTGCCCTAAACTACCATGCCACCTGCCGAACCCTCACTTGTGTACTTTTCATATGAAAGAAAATAAAATGCCTTTCAAGGTATAGGAAACAAAGAAAAGACTTTGATAGAATCAGTTTCTCTCTTTGACAATTCGCGATTATACATTACACTATTAAACTATGCCATGCTGTGTTTAAAAGAGAACAGGCTGAATATTTTATCTTTTTCATCTGAATTTAGACTTTAAAAAACTTGTCAGAGGGCGGGACCAGCAGTTGGCATAATGGCTGTGTTGCTGGACTCCCATGTAGTGGGCCACGGTTCGAATCCTGGACCCGACAGCTTAAACTAACGCGTGTGCATGTGTGCCCAAGAGGAGAATGGAGGAGAAGGGATTGCGGTGTGGCCATCCCCCCGGAGGGGTGATTTCTCACTTTCTGTCTCTCTGTCTCTCTCTGTCTTTCTGGCAAGTGCATGCGCCCTATAGCAAAAACCTCTCCAAAAAATAATAATAATTGTTAGAGGGCACACGTGCTCACCAGAGAGACAGAGGGGAAGGGAGGAAGCACTCTCCATGAGGCATGCTCATGCCCTTCTGCCCCATCTCTCCCTCCTTCTGGTAGACAGCCTAGTAAACAGTGTGCTTTTGTCCACACTCCTGGCAAGAACCAGGTGCTAGGAAGTAGAAAAGTATCCATTTGTAGTTTTCCCAAAGAGCATTATTTAAAGTGCACATGATAAATATTTTAATTCCAGGACCCCTCCAGAGTCTCATTTTTCAAATTAATTGGGTCGTCGGAAAAGTCATGGCACATTTTTGCATTGAAAAATATAGACTACGGCGTGACTTTTCCGATGACTCAATACCAAATGGAATTTGTTTGGTGATCAGAGGAGGGAATAAAATACAAATACAAAGTAGCTGGTTCTCATTGGAAAATGCAGTACCCTCTCACATGCAGGTGTCAGATTCAGATCTGGAGAATGCTCCCAGGAGCAGGGCACCCTCAGGCATGTGTGCTGTGAGAGGGGCATCCCCAGTATAGGCTGTTATGTTGAACTCTGTCTCCAGAGGAACTGGCTGGTGCATTTACCCTGCTCTCCTCTTCAGCCCGTGGCAGGGGTCATGAGCAGAAAACCCTCTCAGTTCAAACTTTGCTTAAGTGATTTTTGCCTTTGAGTTTGTGCCAGCATTGTCCTGGGTACTGGGCACTAGATGAGTTGAGAGACAGGGCCCTGCTCTCCTGAGACTGGGCCTCTAGTGGAGGAGACAGGCCCACAGTGACTTGGAGTCCACTCCTTTGGCTGGACAGCATCCTCTCTGACGTGCTGACATTTAAGCTGAGACCTCAGCAGACAAGAAGGAAATGGCAGTGATGAGAAGATGGTGGGTCAGGGAAAGGGACTAGGGCAAAAGTGCTCCAGTCTCCTAAGACTGCTGCGTGCAGGGATGTGTGAGGAGAGGGCAGCAGCAGGGGAGCCTGGGTGGCTAGGCGGGGGCCCTCTGTATGGCTGCTCAGGGGCCAGAGGAGAGAGAGGTATGTGAAGGCAACCCACTGAGTGTCCAGTTAACTGGTGACAGCTATTTTATTGAGGAGTAGATTAATGCCTGTGAAAATAGGATCTGCAGAAAGCAAGGGTATTTGCGAGGAGTTGGGGGTATAAGGCTGAGAAGGTGGGATGCTTCGAGACTAAATTAGCACTGTAAAAGTTCTAAACAAGCGGGGAGTCGCCCATCTCAGAGCTCTCGGTTTGGGCTTTTTGCTCAGATTGCTGGTCTGTTCTGTCTCATGCTTGTCTGTCTCTCTCACAGAGGTCCCTGGCATGTAGCAACCAGTATCTTAATCCAAAGACAGTATCAGTATCGTTTAAGAAGCTACAATAGCCATTAAATGACCCTAGATTTTGCTTTCAGAGCATTTGAAAACACAGATAAGTTTAAGAACCAAAGTAAAATCAACCTGAGCCATTGATCAGACTCCACCTAGGAGTCTCTCTCTCCCATGTTTCTGTCCATTTTATTTGCTGAGCAGGAGAATCACCAGAAAGTAGACAACAGCAGAGGGAAGAGCAGTGTAGAATGCACACGTATTGAATGCTGCCGTATGCCAGGAAGCACTAAGCTCTTCACATGTCTTATTTAACAGTCATAACAACGCTGTGAGGTGGGGATTACTCCAGTGCTGAGATAATGAGATCCCAAGAGACTTGTGCCTTGCCCAGAGTCACAGAACAAGTGATAAACCTGAGTTCAAATTCTGCCTCTCCCTGACCCCTTTAGGCCTGTGGTCTTTACATTATAACATGTTTTACTTAAAGTAGTCTTTCCCAAATTATCATTATTATTATTATTATTATTATTTTTAGTTGCTAGACGGCACATGTACATTGCCAGAGAGAGACAGAGGGAAAGTAAGACAGCACCTCCCATGGGCAATGGTCATACTGTAATCCCTTCTCTTCCATTTCTCCCTCCTTTTGAGATTTTGGGCACTCATGCACACACTCCCAGTATGTTTTTCATACTGCTGGGTCTGGGACTCGAACCACTCAGTAGGCCATGTATGATCCAGCTGCCTTAACCACCACACTGCTGACTGACGCCTCATTTATCTTTCTCAAAATGTAAGAGACTGTAGGCACGAAAAGTTCCCTGGACAGATAGTTTTGGGAAGTGCTAGGTTAAGTGAAGTTAAACACGTTCTCTTACCACAGAACCGCTCAACACCTTTAGTAGCAGGACTACGCCATGGGGTTCTCCGTTAGAGAGAGTGCTGCACTTCTTAACTAGACATAGACACTATTTGCATACGTAGGCTGCCGGGATTGATGTTCCGTGGGGCCTACCTTGGGGAATTCCAGCACTGAACTCAGTAGAAAAAGGAACAAGAGAGGAAGAGGCATTCTCCACTTGGAGAAACACATGCGGTCAATAGATAAAAGATGCTCACTAGATTTAGAGTGCGGTGTATGAAGTATGATGGCCTCAAATCCTTGAAGAGGTTTCTTATCGCATTAGAGATGTTTCTGAAGAAAGATCTGAAAGAGAAATACTTGTAGTCACTAAATCATTCACATAAGTTAGGGTACAAAAGAAGGAAACCGAGTCCCTCAGCCGAAACAAGAGCTGTTGGCCTACTGTGTGTTGCTCTCAACATGCAGACATTGCTGGGCACATTCCTTCAGGACCTCAAAGGCCTGAGGCGTGGCCCACATATCCTAAAAGGCTGCGTGCAGCTTCATCGCAGCCTGAGTGGGCAGGAGCAAGGAGCAGGTGGCTCGCGCTGCTAGGGAGCTGAGAGATGGCTGAGACCTGCCAGCTCTTCCTGCCTGCAGCTCAGCACCTCCCTTATTCTCTCACACATTTGCAAATGTCAGAAAATGACTGGCCTGGCTTCTGGTTTGCTAAAGAAGGGGCTTCTGGCCTTACTTTCCCTAGAGCAAGGCTCAGCATTTGGCCTTTTGGGATCTTATAGTGATGAGGATCTTAAAAATATCTTATGCAGCAGGAAATTCAAGAACCCTTCGCCTCCCCATCCCCTTTCTCTTTTCCATGCTAGTCTCCAGACAGCCTTTCAGGCTAATGAGTCAGTTGTTGGAATGGTCAAGAAGATTGATAGTTGACAGGAATGGGCCCTTGTCCCCCATTTAAAGATAGCACTAATTGTATTGAACATCTGAGATTTTATGTCTCTTCAAATAGTGTTGGCACGATTTCTTGCCCAGGTCAGGCTTTGTATGTGTGCTTACTTGCTAGTCTCCTCGTGGTTCTGTGTTACCACGTCCCCCAACTCCTAGCCAACCTCCAGTTTTCTCTCTTAACCTATTTTTCTTTTTCTTTAGACCAATGAGGCGAGCTCAGAGTCGATAGCATCCTTCTCTAAACAGGAGATCATGAGTAGCTTTCTGCCAGAGGGAGGATGTTACGAGCTGCTCACCGTTATAGGTAACGCCCAGGGCCTGTGGCTGCTTCCCTGCCCTAGGGGACTGTGGCGGCCTTCTCAAGGTCCCTAAATGAATGTGCACCAGAGGCCATCTGCTAGATAGTAGGACTCATGGTGATAGAACTGCCTTCTGTGGGTCTTGTTTGGTTTTCTTCTGCCAAGCATAGGAAGAGATCACATGACCAGGAGAGGAACTCCTAGGCCATTTTTCTGTAGCTGTACTTCTGATGTCCTGGGCCTTGGAAATGAGAGTGGTTGGCTGCAAAGGAGCTGAGAGGAGAAAGACCAAAAAATGTCAGCCACGAGAGTAACAGTTGTGAACATCTTAACTCGATTTTCGTTTTGAAATCAAGTTCCTTTTTTCTTAAAGGAAGATAAAGTCCTTCGTTGCTGTTTTCCTGGTTCATACATTTGTTTGTCCTTTTAGGCAAAGGGTTCGAGGATCTGATGACAGTGAATCTAGCAAGGTACAAACCAACAGGGGAGTATGTGACCGTTCGAAGGATTAACCTAGAAGCCTGTTCCAACGAGATGGTGACGTTCTTGCAGGTAATAAAGCGTGAGTGTCACCCTTGGGTAGCCGGCCCTTGGGGCTGGTAGCATGGAGGCATCTGTCACAGCAGGTCTCTGAAAGGCCCTGGCAGGAAACGAAGGTGACCAAATGTCCAGAAGTTATGGAGACTTTTGGGCAGTTAGCCTCAGCTCATGTCCCAAAGGCCAGGACCCTGGAGTTCCTGAAGTTTTTAGTCCAGATTCTTTTTTATTATTATTATTATTAATAATAATAATAATAATAATATTATTATTATTATTCTATAGCTGCTCCTGAGGAAAAGGATCTCTCAGTCTGAGGTTGCTGGAAAAATACTATCCACGAATGTGTAATAGTCATCCTTTGTTCCTTAATTCTTCTCTTGTTTCCATCAACTACATTTCCATTTAAAACAGAAAAACACTTTTTGTTTTCCTGTTTTAAAGATGAGTTCTGGTGGGCCAGCAGGTGACGTGTTAGTTGGGGGTGCTGGACTCCCACATGGCCAACCATAGTTTGAGTCCCGGACCTGGCAGCTTGCTTTCTCACTTTCTCTCTCTCCCTCACACACACACACTCTGTCCCTATCTAGTAAAATTAAAATAAATAAAGTTAAATAAAATAATAATTAAAGGGATCAGCAGTTAGCATAATGGCTATGTCATTGGAGTCCCATGTAGTCAACCGCGGTTCAAGTCCTAGACCCAGTGGCTTGGACTCACACCGGGTGCATGTGCGTGCGTGCCCAGGATCCCAAGAGGAGAATGGGGGAGAGGGGATTGCGGTGTGGCCATCACCCCGGGGGGTGATTTCTCGCTTTCTGTATCTCTCTCTCTCTGGTGAGCGCACACACCCCATAGCAAAAACCTTTCAAAAAAAAAAATTAAAAAGAAAAAGAAGAGTTCTGGGGTTGATCCCGTAACTTAATGGTTAAGGGAGCCGATCCCACATGGCTCTCCTTGGCTCAAATCCTGACCCCAGCAGCTTGAAAAGCATGTCAGGCATGTACACTTGACAGGATAGAGAAATGGAGGAGAAGGGATTGTGGCATGACCAGGTCCCGTTGGGGGAGTGTTTTCTCCCTCTCTTTCTCTCTCTCCCTGTCTTTCTCTAGTGAGCACATGTGCCCTCTAGCAATTAGAAAAAGAAGAGCAAAAGAGTTCTGAACCTTGGCACTGAAGTTGAGCTAACCTGTAACTTTATGAGCCTCCATCATCACTTGGCTTCCTTGGTCTCCAGAGTGGTGAACTGTGTGACAGCAGTATCCCTGTTTGGCTGGGGATTGTTTCTCAGGACTCTCAAGGCCTGGGCAGGGCGACACTGGGGCAGCAGGGCCCAGTGTCTCCTCTATGGAGGGCACCCGCATAGGCAGCACCCAGGATGTTGCAGGGAGTGCCCAGGAAGTACGAGCTCCCCATGTTACTCATCCTGCCGCCTTGCCCGCGCGCGTCGTTCTTCGGCGCCTTTTGGTTCTGACTTCAGCTTTACCACTGCTTTCAGGGGGAGCTTCATGTCTCTAAACTCTTCAATCATCCCAACATCGTGCCATATCGAGCCACCTTTATTGCAGACAACGAGCTGTGGGTTGTCACAGCATTCATGGCATATGGTGAGTGGGACAGGGTTCTGGCCAGAAAGGGTCTAAAAACTCTGGTGTCTATTGCTATGTGCTGTTTCCTTCCCCGTCCCCCTTCACCATCGCCTTGTGTTTCTTTTCTCCAGGTTCTGCAAAGGATCTCATCTGCACACACTTCATGGATGGCATGAACGAACTGGCGATTGCCTACATCCTGCAGGGGGTGCTGAAGGCTCTAGACTACATCCACCATATGGGATATGTACACAGGTCTGTTCTCAGGTGGCTTCAGCCTCCGTTAGTGCAGGTGACAGCTGAAGGGCAGGTAAGGGCTCTGTGTCCATGAGCCCCTCAGGTAACAGCTAAAGTTTGAAGTTAGCAAACCAGAGTTTAAAATCCAGGACCTGGGGCCTGTCCATGATCTCTTGGTTAAAGTAGCTGGATCCCATACAGCTGACCACGCAGTTCGAGTCCTGGACCTGCTGCCTTGAGAAACATGCCAGGCATGTGTGCAGGCGTGTGTGCCCAAAATCCCAAAAGGAGGGAGAAATAGAAGAGAAGGGATTGTGTGTGACCATGCTCCACAGGGGGTGCTTTGTCACTTTCCTCCCCTTTCTCTTTGTCTCTCTTGGGAAAATTGAAAGAAAGGAAAATCCAGGATCTGGAGTCTGCCTTGCCCCCGACCTGGGAGACAGTCATACATGTCGGCTGTTGGTGCTGAGCCCGGGCACTCTTCACTGGGCAGCTTGGCCCTGCATGTGGCACAAGAGGACCATCTGCCCCTTTCCCTGTGTGCTAAGGTGCTGGTCAAGGACCAAGTGCGTAGTAGGTGGATCAGGAAAACTGGCTCAGGGTAGGGAGGAGTTAAACCTAGAGTCCTGCTGACCTCCATGTTCAGAGAGCACCAGTTGGATTAAAGTCCTGAATGAAAACCACCAAACCCCCTGCTTAAATGGAAGGATAGATGAGGAAATATTTTGTGACATGAGGCCTAGGAGAGCTTCCAAATATTTTAGATGCACAAAATGTAAAGGTAAATGCTTGAGGAATTTGATTACATCAAGATTATATAAAAGAAACCGTGAACGAAGTTAAACGGTGACAGAGTGGAAGAGGATGTCAGCTTTGTTAGTAAGGAGGAAATTACAAAGAGACGAGAAAAGGACAGCAAGGCATAGAAACTGGACAAAGGATGTGAAGTCTGTAAAAAAGAACCCCCATCGACACTAACCCTAGCACTCAAGAGGAAGCCAGTGGAACCGAGCTGTCCCTTTGTACATGCCGTGCTGAGGAGCCTAGTGGGGCCATGGGTGAGGACAGTGGTGCGGGACCTCCTGTCCAGGTAGCAGAGAGGGGCCTGACACAGAAACCCCGGTGCAAGCACACAGGGCACAGAGCGTGCACGTGTCTGTTCACGCTCGTGCTGTTGCCCGTGGGTGAGTAAAGGTGTTGGGTCCCACCCGAGTCAAGGTGCGTCAGCAAGGCCCAGGTAGATGTGCACCGATGGCATCTTGGGTGCATCTTGAAAACCCAGCACTGAGTGGAAGAATGAGATGCATAGCATAGCACTGTTAGGGAAATTTTATAAATATATACACACAACATAAATGTGCACTTTTCAAGAATGCCAGTAAAGAAACATCTGATTAAAAGCATTAATGGGAGGTGGGAGACCAGATGGTCTGTGAGTGTGAAAGAGAACTTAGCAGGGTATAAGGAAGATTTTAAACCATGATACGTAAATGGGGTCATGCCATTTTCTCTTGTGCAAGTTTGAAAATTGCTCATAACAATGTGTTTGTGTATAAAAAGCACATACACATGTGTGATACACATACACACACGGGGGAGAGCTGACCCACCAGTGCATGAAGCCCCATGGGGTGCAGCGTGGGGGCTCCTGCCTCCCGTGACACACTGCCTTCCAGGAGCGTCAAAGCCAGCCACATTCTGATCTCCGCGGACGGGAAGGTCTACCTGTCTGGTTTGCGCAGCAACCTCAGCATGATCAGCCATGGGCAGCGGCAGCGTGTGGTCCATGATTTCCCCAAGTACAGTATCAAAGTCCTGCCGTGGCTCAGCCCAGAAGTCCTCCAGCAGGTCAGTGCGCTAGGATCCAGGGAAGCCCTCAGGAATCTCCCAGGGTGAGGGGTGGGGGGGCAGTGCCCTCTCATTAGGTGAACAAGGGGTTCTTGGAGGGAGGGTGTCCTGTTGGCCAAAGGCAGCTGGGAGCCCACTCAGCACTAGGTCAGCTGCCTATTGCATGTGGGTGTGCTTTCTCCTTGGTGATGTCCCAAACTATCCTTGGAGGCCCCTCCAACTCTGGAAAGAGGGAACATTCTGGAAATGTTGGTACTCTCCTGGGCTGAGCAGGAGAATAGGGCCTGGCATTTCTCCCTGCTTAGTTCATAGCATCCCAAATGTTTGTCTCACAAAATAGCAGTCGGTCTCAGCATGGCAGGGAGTGTGGTCCACAGCTGGCCTCACTGGGGACAGACCCCTTCCTCATCTCAGCTTTTGTTCTGCCTTTCCTTTTTTAAGAACAAAAGCCAAGGCTTCAAGTGGAGTCATCTGTGGCTTTTTTCTCTTAGAATCTTCAGGGTTATGATGCCAAATCTGACATCTACAGTGTGGGAATCACAGCCTGTGAACTGGCCAATGGCCACGTGCCCTTTAAGGATATGCCAGCCACCCAGGTGAGCCCACACTGCCAAGGGAGACTGGAGGAAAGACCCAGTCCTACACTTGAGATGTCCCAGGTGCTGGTGGGGTGGTTGTGTAACTGCGTTTACTTCTCTGTGTGTAAACGCTGGGGTATGGGAGCCCAGGCCAGGGGAGGGGTGCAAATGGAGGTCACGTACATATGGTCTATTTGAAATCTAGATATCAAGCTAACCAATTTTGGTACATTTAAAAATAGGTTCTCTGGAGCCAGCAGGTGGCGTGGTGGTTAAGGGTGCTGGACTCCCACATGGCCAACTGTGGTCTGAGTCCCAGACCTGGCAGCTTGCTTTCTCAGTTTTCCTCTCTTTCTCTCGCTCTGTCCTTCTCTGGTCAAATTTAAATAAATAAGCAAATAAATAAATAAAGTTAAATAAAATAATTCTTTTAAAAAAAGTAGGTTCTGTCTGGGACCAGCAGATGGCATAGTGGTTACGTCACTAGACTCCCATGGAGTCGAACATGGTTTGAGTCCTGGACTCAGTGGCTTAAAAGTTACACCAGTGCATGTGTGTGCGGTGTGCCCAAAACCCAGAGAGGAGAATAGAGGAGAAGGGATCGCGGCATGGCCATCTTTCCTGGGAGGTGATTTCTTGCTTTCTGTCTCTCTGGCAAGCTTAATATATATATATTCTCTCATCTTATCTTGGTAGATACAGCTGGAAGGTCAGTTTCTAACTGAGGCTTCTCACTTCCCAGAGTTCATGCTGTCACATCCCAGCCAACACCTTTGGCACCTCCAACCAGCTTCTGTTTGTGCCCTCCAGTTTCTGCCCTTGCCGCCTGTGGGCCTAGGAACTGACAGGCAGTGGCACAGTCGGCCCTTGGAGGACAGACTAGAGAAAGACACTCAGACCCCTCAAATCCAGGAAGTGCATTTGTGGTCAAGTACCTTGTGTGGGGGGGGTAGTATCTTGGGGATTGGGGACTGCTTGGTTCCAGGTACCTGGAGAATGGCCTAGAACTGAGTGGGGCAAAGTGCAGGCTCTGAGCAAGCCTGTCACTGGAACCCATGCCAGAGAATGGCCATGGGGCCCTCTAGAGCAGGGGCCAAGAGTCTTCTGGGAAGAGGCAACGCTTGAATCCTCAAGACAAGGAGCGCTTACCTGTTAGAAGAATGGGGACGAGAGGCAGGCTTGTTAGGCACAGGGAATAGCACGTGGTTGAAAGGCTGAGATCCAGGAGCTTCCGGGACACGGCCAGGTGATGGGCCTGGGGAAGGAAGCAAGCGCACATCGTGAAGGGCGCTGCCAGGTGTTTGGTTCCTGTCTCAAAGCTTGTGGAGAACTGCAGGTACGTTTTAAGCACAGCAGTGATAGCAGCAGGTAAACATTTTAGAAAGATCACTCTAAACAATGGGTTAGGTCTAGTAGACCAGTTAGGAGAGCGTGTTAGGGAATCTAGGATGTCTAAGTAAAGTAATTCAGTAACAGAAAACTCAGGAAAGAGCTTAAAGGCTGTGCAGCGTAAACAAGAGGCGCAGGTCTAGAAGCAGTGGGTGTGGTTTACCTGTGCTGTGTGCATGGTAGCCACCAGCCACCTACAGGGGGTTAAATAGAGTAGCTGAAGGTGGCAGGTGGTTACCACAGTGGTGCAGCTCCAGAGAGGTTTCCAGTTTGCTGGCGGGGACAGCTTATGAGGTACATGGGGACACCCATGAGGACCAGCGCTCTTGGAGGGGCTGGTTTCACAAGTGCTGAGTCTGAGAACTTTGGAACAACCCTGGAGCCAGGCCTAACCTGTCCACTGCCCCAGAGCAGCCTGGGAATGGCAGCTGCTCCTTGCCTCTAGCCCCAGAAGGCAGGATCTACAGTTAAAGGAATTTGATGCCTTCTTAAGGGAGGGAGGAAACTGAGCCCCTTCCTTCCAGCCTAGGAGAAGGGACCTTCATGCAGTCCCTGTCCTGCTGGCCCAGCCAGGGCGTCCCTTTGGAACAGACAGACTTACTCCCTTTCCGTGTCGTTTCTTCTCCCAGAAGGTCACATGTGTGCCTTGGAAAGGTGTGTTTGTGAAGAGACTCTAGGCCTTGCAGGGCCCCCACCCAGGCCCCGGCTCTGTCTCCTCCAGATGCTGCTGGAGAAGCTGAACGGCACAGTGCCCTGCCTACTGGACACCAGCACCATCCCCGCCGAGGAGCTGACCATGAGCCCCTCGCGCTCAGCAGCCAACCCTGGCCAGAGTGAGGGCCTGGCCCCCAGCACCCCCCGGCCCTCCAATGGCGACTCGCCCTCCCACCCCTACCACCGGGCCATCTCCCCCCACTTCCACCACTTTGTGGAACAGTGTCTTCAGCGCCACCCAGATGCAAGGTATCCCCATAGGCCTGGGACAGGGAACTCCAGACGAGGCCGGGGTGGGAGGATGCACCTCTCAAAGGTTCCTTGGTCTTGGGTTCCCCAAGGGAGGGGATCAGGAGCCTCCAGAGAGAGGGAGTAGTGTGTGGGTTTGTCAGGAAGCCAGCCCAGGGCCCTGGAGGTAACTGAGGACTGCCCCATGAGCTGAGGCAGGGAGTAGGGTGTCAGCACAGGGTTGGGAAGCGGGTTGTGACACTGCTCTCTCCCCTTCCTCTGCAGGCCGAGTGCCAGCACCCTCCTGAACCACTCCTTCTTTAAGCAGGTACAGTAGCTCCTGACCCGGCCTCTGCTGCTTCCTGCCTGTGATTCTAGCTCCCCACAGCCCCTTAGCTTAGTGGCCTTTAGGGATTCCCTCCTCCTTCCTGAATAGGAGAGGTTACCATGTTTCTGAAGTCTCAGCTCCCTCCCAGCCATGGTTCCTTGCCCCATGGCGTTCAGGGACCCTGAGCAAAAGGCTCCATCACTTGATTCTCTTTCCTCCCCCAGATCAAGCGACGTGCCTCAGAGGCCCTGCCAGAATTGCTTCGCCCAGTCATCCCCATCCCCAGTTTTGAGGACAGCCAGCCTCAGGACCACAGTGGAATCTTTGGCCTGGTCTCAGACCTGGAAGAGCTGGAGGTGGATGACTGGGAGTTCTGAGCCTCTGCAGACTGTGTGCATTGTGGGCTGCGTGGGCTTGCAGGGCCCCTTCCTGAGGGGTGGCCAGGTCCCACCCTCCGGGTGCAGATCCGGGTGGGAAGGTATTCTGCAGGGAAGCTGCCACTTACTGATGGGGAAGGAGATTCTTGGAGACTTTTTTACTGTTGTGAGGCTTGAGACACCAGGGAATTCCAACCATCAGGGACCTGGAGGGATCAGAAAGGTGACATTCCCAGGTGACCTCTTCAGGAGATGCTTCTGAGGCCCTGGGGGCTAAGTCCAAGCCCAGGGTTTTCTGTCTGCCAGGAGCACATCAGTCCTCTCCCCACACTCCTGCAGCTCAATTCCATTCTCCCCTGTGCTCTCCTATCCTATAGGGCCAGGAAGGGGCAAGTGAGGAGCAGCCTGCCTTCCTCCCCTCACCCCTCTCCCTAGGGTCCAAGGGAAGGTCCTTTCTGGTTGTTAACAGGTTAAGGCTGGGGCGGTCCATCCTTACTCTTATTGCTCGGGCCCTGGCACCGAAGACCTTCCTGTAGTTATCTATCTGCTCACTCCTTTCCCACCCAGACTCCATGTTATGCCTCCCCAGCTGCCTTGGCGCTTTCTCCAAGGGCCGTAAAGTCTTGCCTAGCCGGAGGGCTTGAGCACTTATGCTGTGTTAGTTTCACTGTCAGAACAAATTAAACATTTCAGAGCATCTGTCGGGGAATGGCGTTGTGTGTGAGTCAACTCAGGGACTGCAGTCCTGCCTCCTGGTGCTTGTGCTTCCAAGGCTGTCTGTATGGGCCCCACGGAGTCGCTCTGCCATAGAGACTGGGCCCAGGGTGTGTGGAGGCACTCCGGTGCCCTTCACAAGATCGATCCATACCAGTTTCTTTTAAAATGCCTAACAGATTGGTCTCTCAAGTACCTAAAATTTCAAGATTTACTTTTAGCCTGTGGCTATCAAACTACTTTGGGGCTAGAAAGGTCTAGGTGCAGTGGAGCCTGGCCGCTTCTGCCTTTGGCAGGTAAGAGGGGGGAGGGCTTTGTCTTGGACCCTGACTTGCAGTGTCTTACATTGGGACTAATACCCACAGACAAGCAGTCCGGGAACCAGACCTGCCTGCTGCCGGCCATCCTGGCTGGTGGCCAGCAAGGCCAGTGGCGGTGGTTCTACCTTTGGTCTCTTGAAGGGGAGGGGGCTCAGTGTATGAACACCCCTCCCCCGGGCTTACCCTTTTGCTGCAGCTCAGGTGAGGGGCCCTGCTCTAACTTAGGCACTTCCATGGCAGAATAGGGAGGTGCCTGAACCATCAAATGCCCTCATTTTCCCATCTTAAATTTAATGCCAGCTTAAAAAAGAAAAGGCAGCCTTGGGAACCAGCAGTTAGCGTAATGGCTGTGTCGCTGGACTCCCACGTAGTTGACCGCGGTTGGCGTCCCAGACCTGGTGGCTTAAAACTCACGCTGGGCGCGTGTGCGTGCGTGCCCAACATCCTGAGGGGAGAATGGAGGAGAAGGGATTGCGGCATGACCATTCCCTCTGGGGGGTGATTTCTCGCTTTCTGTCTCTATGTCTCTGTCTGGTGAGCGCACACACCCTATAGCGAAAATCTCTCAAAAAAAAAAAAAAAAAAAAAGGCCGCCT